TTAATTACATCCTAATAGACAAGATAATAACTGACAGACTAACTAAATCCCTTACTAGACCACTATTTAACAACTATGTGTCTTTACTCGGATTAACAAGGTCTTAGGACAAGTCACAAGCTAATTCGGCTTAAGGGGGAGTGTTAAGAATGCATACTGATCAGCAGACTATAGTCTGCACTATTTGGCTGTACACGTATAGCTAAATATTGCCTGGTCAGATTATTCCTAATCAGGTATAGTGCAGGATTTCATATGCTGGTGGCATAGGATATACTACATGATCTATACACTAACAGGATCTGTACTTGGTATACAGATACACTATAATCTTACTCTGTATATAAGTTGTGACTGTAGTAGAATTCGTTAATTTTTAGACATTATTTTTAAGCATCTTTACGTACGCTAAACTTTATTCTTAACTTTGTAAAGACTATAAGTAGTCAAAATAGCACTAACAGCCTTATTATCTTGCTAAATAAAGCAGAGAGTATTATTTTTAATAACCTCTATTATTATAGAGTCTTATAGTAGCTTATTTTGCTTAAAATAGCTCTAAAGATATAAAGAAAATCTGTTAGCCTTTTTATGTATTATACTTATATAATAGACCCTTATAATTAATAAGTACTATGTAATAGGCATATTTAGAAACAGATTATTTAAATAAACACAGAATTTAAGCTGTTTTAGAAGCTGTTTAGCCAAGTGTAAAACAAGCGTAAATATAAGTACTAATAAGGTACGCTTAGCGCCTGCAGAGCGTAGGTGTAATCAGCTTATTTTTATTTCCTTTTTAAGCGTTTCAACTCTATTTATTCTAGAGTAAAATAACTAGCTCTAAATATATTTATAATTACTAATATATTATAGCTTGTAGCCTATATTAATAAGCTTATTCTTTAGCTTAATTATATACTTTGAATAGCTTATAAAGACAACTATAGCCTTATTAATAGTGATATAAAAGAAGAGATAGAAGGAATTTTAATAAGCAGTTTAAATAAGGTTAGTTATATATTAAATTTGATAAAACTAGAGTGTATTTAGAGGTGTAAGAGCACTATTTATACTAAAAAAGTAATGAATAAGTTCAAATTAATCTTAACTTATAAATTAACCTAGATTATATAGTTTCTAATAATCTGTTTATACTATTAAATAGTATAAGCCAAAATAGAGATTTATCCTTATAAATATACGTATTTCTGCCGGCGTAATAGGTACCTAATGACATTTCTTAAGGAAAGGAGGATTTTGTAATTTGAATGTGGCATATTTGTTAGTTTCTTCAGAGAGGATTTCTACCACGAAATCGCTAAAAAAGAGCTGAAAAAAGCCTAATTCAGATAGATTAGTGTATTGAAAAGCTCCTGCTCGATTTCGAACGTAATTAGCTTCAAAATGAGGGAGTTCTGTTGAAATGAATGTCGAGGGTTCATCTGCGCATTCTGGCGTCGGGGCAATCACTGCCAAGGCTTGATCGATTTTATTTCGATCAACGCTTTTGGAGCCAATTTTTGACCGTTTTGACTGGTTGTTGTTTCTGTGTATTGACGGAGGTGATTTATCTCTGTATCTCAGAGGAATTTGCGTATTTCGCTGTGGTCGTAGCATAGTAAGTGGCTGAAAATTTATTTATAAAAAGCGCAGTGGAAAGCTGTGACGCTCATATGCGGCTAAAAAACCTTATTCTGCGCCAAGACGCTAATTGGACCACCCAGGGACGGAGGGGATAGCCCCCTTTTTCTGTAGACCCTTGAAGCCTTCTTTTAGGTTACTTGATGTGGCTCAGCGGTCTGCGTTAGTTAAACTTCAGTGATCCGCCCCCTCTCATAATCTTTACGTTCCTACTGACTACCAGCACTGTGCTAGCACAATAAAAGCTAGCTTCTATTCATCCTAGTTAGCGTATATTGATGACTTTGAAGCACAACTCTGTACTGCATTAACATATAAATTGTTGAGAATAATTCTATTAAAATATGAATCTAGATTAATGATTATTTAAAGTACAGAACACACTTAATAAAAGCTAACTACTTCTGATTAATTATAATCGATTATGTATGCGAATGCAGTACAAATTGTTGTGATCAATCATGAACACTCAGGAAGAAGCACTGTACTGTAATTACTAGTGGTATTAGTGGCGTACGCTATCAGCGTCCGGCTGCGGGTAAAGTACACCTCCGTCTTCTACCTCGCCAACGTGTGGGCAATCAGTTTGCAGCTTCCTCAAGAACCCAGTAGAGGTAGCGACCAGTCTCGACATATTATCCTGATAACAGTGTACCGGATACCCTCAAGGCAGTAGCCGCAGCTCAGCGGAGCAGCAGGCAATTAGCCCAACATAAATATGTTCCACTCACTGGGCAGCCACGCCAAAGAGCTCAAACAGCAAGGCGCAGTGGAGGCTGCCCAGGATCATAATACAGAGGCGACAGCACAGGATGCGGAGAAGGTTTTGATTGAGGAGAGCATAAAAGGCGGTGCAGCTGCATTTCAGTTCGACCCTAATGCTACTCCACAAGAGAAGGCCGCTCAAGCCGGAGCTGTGAGCATATTGCTATACCTTCTACTAAGACCCCTACTGATCTGCCGTCTTACAGCAAGTCCCTGCCGGGTTTCATCGCAAGAAAAAGTCCGGGGTTGGCATTGCAACCGACATTGTATGTGCCAGCCCTGTCACTCGATCAATTACAGAGCTTTACTAACGAAGCGAACAGGACGATGGTACACCCGGCAAATACGACCTTCCACCACCAAGCACAGACGGTGCCTTGCCCGCTACTTCTACACCGGAGGGCAAAAAGTCAATGCAAGCAAATGGAGCCCCACTAGAGGACGAGTACGCCCGTGACCGAGTAGGATGGGCCCCTCGATTTGGTACTGGTGACGCTGCTGATGACGAAGGTGAAACACTATTGGATCATCAAACCTTTCTCGAAGGCAAGCTGGACGATAAATTTTTTGGAGACTGGTACCACAACACCGGCGTGATCATCTTCGCTTGCCTATCCTCCTGGGTGATTGCTCTTCTTGGAGGGGGCCTCGGATGGTTGTTTCTAGTAATGGCTACGTGCGGAACCTATTATCGAACCTCTATCCGAAGAGTGAGAAGGAATTTTCGAGACGATCTCAATCGAGAACTCGCCAAAGCCAAGTTAGAGACAGATACCGAAAGTCTCGAGTGGATCAACAGCTTTTTGGTGAAATTCTGGCCGATTTACGCTCCAGAACTTTGTAGGACAATCATCGCTTCTGTTGATCAGGTTTTGAGCACTTCGACTCCGGCCTTTCTCGACAGTCTTCGTATGAGGACATTCACGCTGGGGACTAAGCCACCGCGGATGGAACATGTCAAAACGTACCCAAAAGCTGAAGACGATATTGTGCTGATGGACTGGAAATTCAGCTTCACACCCACGGACACTATGGACCTCACTGCGCGCCAGCTGAAGAACAAGATCAATCCAAAAGTCGTGCTCGAGATACGGATCGGCAAAGCTATGATAAGCAAAGGCTTGGATGTGATTGTCGAAGATTTCGCTTTCTCTGGTCTCATGAGAGTCAAAGTCAAGTTGCAGCTTCCATTCCCACACATTGAGAAAGTTGACATCTGCTTCCTTGGGCAGCCCGAGATCGACTACGTTTGCAAGCCTCTCGGAGGGGACACACTTGGCTTTGACATAAATTTCATACCTGGATTGGAGACCTTCATCAAAGAACAAATTCATGGCAACTTGCAGCCTATGATGTACGACCCAAACGTCTTCCCGATTGAGATTGCTAAAATACTCGCTGGAAATCCCGTCGATCTTGCCATTGGAGTGGTTGCTGTCACCATTCACGGTGCACATGGGCTGAAGAACCCTGACAAATTCTCAGGTACTCCGGATCCGTATACAGCTGTCTCCCTCAACAGCCGTGAATCATTAGGGCAGACCAAGACCATAAAGGAGAATGCTAACCCACGATGGAACGAAACCTTGTACATTATCATCACATCCTTCACGGATACCTTGACAATGCAGGTTTATGACTGGAACGAGTTCCGCAAGGACAAAGAATTGGGAACAGCCACTTTCGCTCTTGATCAACTTGAGCAGGATACTGAGCATGAAAATCTGCAGCTTGAAGTTATGGCGAACGGCAAGCCCCGTGGTCAGCTCCAGGCTGACGTGAGATTTTTCCCTGTCTTGGAAGGCAGAAAGCTAGAAGATGGTACGCTTGAGCCTCCACCCGAGTCCAATACTGGCATAGCAAGAATTACGGTAGAGCAAGCCAAGGAGCTCGATGGATCGATAAGCCTGGTTGGAGCTCTCAATCCTTACGCTGTACTGCTTCTCAACAACAAGGAGATCCATATCACGAAGAAGCTCAAGCGGACGAACAACCCCGTTTTTCCGGATCCCACAAAATCAGTTCTGATAACAGACCGCAAAAAGGCTCGTCTTGGATTAGTGATCAAGGACGATCGAGATCTAGCATCAGATGCGGTTTTGGGCTCCTATCAAATCAAAATGGACGACATGATCCAGCTGATGGACAAAGGCCAGGAATGGTTCAATCTGCATGGGACTAAGACGGGTAGAGTCAAACTGATGCTGGACTGGAAACCGGTTGGAATCAAAGGGATCACTGGCTCTGGCGGTTACGTCACGCCGATTGGAGTTATGCGCATCCATTTCAAGAACGCCAGAGATGTCCGCAATTTTGAAACCATTGGCAAATCTGACACCTATGCACGTGTCCTGCTTTCTGGCATTGAGAAGGGTCGCACCGTGACATTCAAAAACAACCTTAACCCTGACTGGGATGAAGTCATCTATGTTCCTATGCACTCAACCAAAGAGCGCCTCACTCTCGAAGTGCTGGATCAGGAGAAACTAGGCAAGGACCGCACGCTGGGTTCCGTCGAGGTTCCCGCTTCCGATTATATTCGGGAGAGCGAAACAGGTGCCTATGAAGTGCACGATAGGAAAACACCAATGTCAGAAGGTCTGCGAATCAATGGCCGAGGACAGGCGAAAGGTAAGCTCAATTACACAATGGCTTTCTACCCAACCTTGAACGTGGTTGATCCCGAGGAAGAAGAGGAAGAACTTCAAGAAGAAGCCGAAGTTGTTGGAAAACCTTCCATGGAAAGCAAGGGGGCGAAGGATGGCAAAGTATCTCTAGACGCTACCCGTTCAAGCGTGGAAGGATCACAGCAGAGCGCCGAAGTGTCCTACCCCCCTAGAGTTGATTCCATGGACCGCGGTACTATTGACACTGCTCTAGCAAACGGAGTGACAAATGGTGAAAAGGAGACTAGCAAAGCTACCCCAGCGGAGCTCTTGGTGGCGAAACCACGGGAACCAAAGATACGTCTTGGACCAGAAGACTTGACGAAATATGGTACGGCGTTGTATATCCCGTTGTGGTTCTTGCTAATCTATCACAGAATGTGGTCTCCTTGTGTTCAAGATCGTTCAAGGCACGTTTGCCCATTCGGATGTCCAACTGGAAGTACTCATGGATGACATGGTCTTTCCGTCCTATACCACATCGAAAGCTCGCCAAAGGAGCCACAAATTTGGCGAGACCGGAGATGCCTTCGTGCGCGAGCTTGAAGTGTCGCAGATCACGTTAAGGTTGACTGAGAAGACAGACAACAAGGGAGAGGGTGACCAAGACCACGTAATCGCGAGACTAAAAGGTTCAACCTTGACTACGCTCCAGCAGTGCCTGTATAAACCGACAGAGCTGACCATGAAGGGTGCGGACGGCGCTTTGAGCAAGGTCACAGTCAGTCTCAAGTACCTGCCGGTCAAGATGCAACTAGACCCAAGTGAGAGCATAAACAACATGGGTACTCTTCGAGTCGACGTATTGGATGCGGCTGATCTGCCATCTGCGGATCGAAACGGCTACAGTGATCCATACTGCAAATTCCGCCTCAATGGGAAGGAGGTATTCAAAACGAAGGTCCAGAAAAAGACCTTACATCCTGCGTGGAATGAATTCTTCGAGGTGCAAGTCAATTCCAGGACTGCAGCGGAATTCAAGTGCGACGTGTACGATTGGGACTTTGGAGACAAAGCAGACCAGCTTGGCACAACTGCTATCGACCTACAGAGTCTTGAACCATTTCAAACAACAGAAATGTGTTATGCTCTCGATGGCAAATCAGGGACCCTCAGACTGAAGCTGCTATTCAAACCAGACTATGTTCAACGATCCCGCCAAGGCTCTTCCACCTTCTCGGGCACATTTGCTCCGGCAGGGAAAGTCGTAGGAGCACCAATCAAGGGTGTCGGCAAGGGCGCCTCATTTCTCAAACGCGGATTCACCAGCAAGTCCAAAGGCGGTCAAGATGAGGCTATCATGGATGCCAATGGCTCAGTTGTGACTAGCATCAATGGTGATGTGGTGTCGGATTCAAGCACGCCCCAAGGCACTCCATCCCGCCCCAATACAGTAGTCGACGGCCAACCAACAACACCAACTTCGGCCCAGAAAGACGCCCCACACAACCGGACAAGAAGCTTTGGCTCTACTTTCAGTGTGTCCGGCGGAACTTCAAAGGGAGCCAGTACTGGGACCGCATCGTTGACAATAATCGCTGCAAATGACTACCCACCGTCAGCTGATGTTCGTGTTTATGTGAAAACGGTCGGCCCCAAAGGGGGTAAGGAAGTTCACAAGACGAAATCAGTCAAGTCACCCACCGGCAAAGTTGAGTACTCTGCCGAACACGAAACCTTCAACGTTGCGTGTTCTGCGGATACTCAATTCCAAGTGGTGGTGAAGGATCATGGCTTGTTTGGTGGGGAAATTCTGGGAGATGGCTTGTTCTTCCTGGCAGACCAGGGCTCAGGAGCGATCCAGTCGGTCAAAGCTGGTCCGGGTGTTGTCGTTCTGCAAAGCCAGTTCACACCGTCAGGCGGCAGCTCGGCTGACAGTCTAAGACCAGTGACCTCCAACGGGAGAGACAGTCCAGACAGCAAAAGGGGTATACGACGGTCGCTGTTGAGCAAGAGAGATTTTAGTGGAAAGCAAGCAACTTCTTGAGAGATCTTTAGGAGAGCTGGCAAAGTATCTTGGAGCAGGAGATCACTTCTGCAGAATCCGTCTGGATGTCAAGAGTTACAATGGTCTCTATATGTGTGTTGTTCTCGGTTGTTCTTTCTTTCGGGCAATGATACCATATGCTTAAGCCACGGAGCATGATATATAGTGGTTTTTTCCACCGAAATCATGAACAATAGATTTCTAAACTCAGACCTCTCTTCAGCAAAGATGGTGTGAATGAGGATCGTGATCGCCGGCATAGTATTCGATATGGACTGAGGGCCTTTCACCAACTTGAAGGTAGCCTAACGTAGCGCCAAGTCAGCCCCCTGTCCCTTTCTATCTTACTACGTAGTACTTTCAGTCTGTAAATAACGAAGGGTCAGATTGAGCGCCTCGCAACAGAATAGATACCCATGATAGGAATGATAGGAATGATAGGAATGATAGCGTGAATAAGCCTGTTAGAGGCTGAAGTGATCACTCGGACGTCCTGCTGTTTCTTGCTCGTACCACCATATGGCACCCACATCAATGCCAACATGGAGGAGACTTCCCATCGCAGATACCAACGAAGTCCTTAGTTCCCTGCTTTTTTTCACATTCGAAAGGGATGAAGGTGGAATCGACTTGTCAGTCACAGATCTGGTCCATATCTGGCGTGCCGTCAAAACATCAAAGCAAGAGTTGAAAGAAGAGGCCATCAAGACACGATGCAGCATTGACCCAACCGAGGACGAGGAGCAATACGAAGTACTTCTCAACAAGCTCGAGGAATCCATCTCCGGCTCCCACGGGTCACAAGTTAGACTTCTCAGACATACCGAGCATTCCATCCCCGAGCGCTTCGAGATAGAGACCTCGATCCCGCTCCCCACTCCCCTCGGCACGCTGCAATGGAGCTTCCGGATGGTTCGCCAAGCACCGTCTGCCCTGACGCGGGAGCTGGTGGTGCCCGCGCTGCGGGTCATCGACGCCAGCAGGAGACGCGAAGAGGACCTCCGCCGGAAGATCAAGGACAAGGATCACGTTATCGCGAAGCTGATGGATAAGATTGAAGGTTCGGGCATGGATCTCGCGATGGTGTTTCCCGGCTTTGCGGGCGCGAGGAAGGCGCTTAGTGCGAGGCAGGCGGCTCAGCTTGTTCCCGGGGTCAAGGCTTTTCGAGTGGAGGAGTGGGGTGCGGATCTGAAGGACGGGGATGATGGGGGGTTAAGGGAGATTGTGGATGCGTTGAAGGATGAGGGGACGGGGAAGGTGGTGTGGAGGCCACCGAGGGCGGCTGGCGAGGGAGTGCATGACGACCTGCCTGAGCGAGGATGGAGGCATACTTCGGTTACAGAGCCGAAGAGAAACCAAGTAACGTTTACGTTGATACAGAGTAGAGAAAGATTGGCTGACTCGTTTACAAGCAAACATCTATCGACCAGCCACCCTTTCACAATAACGATCCTGACTCGTCGGAATCCTCTTCTGGTGGGAACATCAGAAAACTCGGCCACCGCCTGAGCTCCTCTGATTCCTCATCAGCTCCTGTCCGAAGCAGAAACACCAATCCAAAGCCGCGATCAGCAAAGCTAGGAACCTTAGGAGGGACGAAGAGCAAGCCCTTGTATGCCACCAAGCAAGATTCGCCCTCTCCATTCCCGGAACCACCTGCAAAAGCTCCAAGGAAGTCGCCGTCCACATCAACAGACACCGCCACAGAATCAGAATCAGAATCAGCAGTAGCAGCAGTCCACAGCGTCGCTGATCGCAGCACAGCAACTCCCAAGAAGAACCCAGCCGTGAAGATGGGCATCATCGGGGGCAGGAGACCCCCAACAAGCAGCAAAGAGCCGCAGATGCCAACCCAATCCGCCGAGCCACCCGCTCCGACAAAACAACGCACGCCTGCCAGACCCCGCCCGAAACTCGGCGCCATCGGAGGCAAGAAGAGCAGGACGGCCAGCCTCTCTCCCGCCGCTTCTCTCAGCCCCACCGTCTCGCCAGGCCACTCTGCTCCTCCTCCACCCGCAGTTGACGCGAAGCAACGCGCCACAGGTTCTTCTGGTGCGCGGAGGCGTTCCAGCACTCCGCCCAAGATGGAGGAGCAGCCGATGACGGAGGCGGAGAGAGCGGATCAGAAGCGGTTGGAGCTCAAGAGACAGCTTGACCAGCGGGGAGGCGCGGGGAGGAAGAAGAGGAGATTCTGACGCCAGAACTTCCTGCGGAGGGAGGGGGAGGGAGATGGGCTTCATCTCTTTTGCGTTACCCTACTGACGCTTTGGATTTGTTGGGTTTGCGGTCGCGAGCGGTGATGGATTGGGCTACTTCGGCTGGGAATTCCGGTGGACAAGTGTCCCGTGATCTTGAAACGAAGAGAATGCTTGAGGGTTTAGGGGGGGGGGAATGTATAAGAGAGTACAGGCTAGAGGGGTGTGAGAGCTGAGTCTCTGAAATTGGGATCTGGAGCACAGATTGGATCTCGGCCCGCTGCTGCCAACACTGGAGTCGGTCCCTGCCTCGTTAGCCTTAGATCCTGTGAGTACACTCCGACTCCGTTCTACATATGAATACCTAATCTGATGTTGCGGTTGGAACGGATAATCATGCGGTGAAATCCTAATCACGACTAACGGTAGGATCCCAACTACACGGCTCATACGCGCCTTTCCTCTCCAGCCTCCGCATCTCCTCTTCACTCAACTCGAAATCATAGAGATCGGCATTCTCTTCGATCCGGCTTGGGGTCACACTTTTCGGCAACGGCACAAATCCCTTTTGCAAACTCCAGCGTAGAAGCACCTGCGCCCACGTCTTCCCATGAGTCTCGGCAATCTCCTTCAGGATCGGATCCTCGGCTCGTTGCCCTCGCACGAGGGGACAGTACGCCTGAATGACGATGTTGCGGGCCCGGCACCACTCCACAATGTCGTCACGCGGTAGCCAGGGGTGCAGTTCCCATTGTCCCACAGAGATGGTGCCGCCTGCGCCGGGGCCGTATTTGGTCTCGAGAGTTTGTATATACAATTCTAGCTCGGCGAGGTGATGGACTCCGTAGTTGGAGACGCCTAAAGAGCGGATCTGTCCCGCTTTTTGCGCCGAGACGAGCGCGTCCCAGGTGCNNNGAGGCGGGCCGTGCGGCCGCCGTAGGGTGAGTGAATGAGGTAGAGGTCTATGTAAGAGAGGGAGGTTTGGGATAGGGTAGAGGCGATGGATCTCTGAGTATGGAATTGTTAGAACGCGAGCCTGGGTTTTGGGATCCTTGCTGAAGGAAAATGAAGGATTGAAATACACTGGTCGCTTCGTAACCCATTGCGCGGGGCGGAACCTTGGAGGTGAAAAAGATCTCCGAGCGTGGAATTGAATGAGCCGAGGATCGGATGGCATCTGCGCAGGGTTGCTCGTTTCGGTAGGCACGCGCAGAATCAATGTGTCGGTAGCCAGTCTTGAAGGCATGAAGCACTACTGACTCGGTAACAGCAGCGGGACTGCCCAAGAGGTTTGATGTAAGGTATCGTCTCTGGTGCAGGGAAAGGCATCTTACGTTTGATACACCTGAAGTGGTAGGACAAATCTGTCAGCTTCCTGAGTTGTCAACCTGCGACTGAACATTGCCACTGACACATGAGCGCTGGTCTTGAAATATTGGGATTGCAGCCTATCGAGTATCTGGGACAATGGAGAGAGGGATGTAGAAAAACAAATGAGATTTAAGCAGAGCATATGAAGGCATGCAGATAGAGCGCATACCCCACAGCCTAACACTGGAATTCTGCATCCCGACTTCGTCTCGTATTTCGAAGTAATATCAAGTCTCTGTCTCACGTCTGAGGCCATGCCTTGATACTGTAAGGCTGAGTCAACTGTTCTTAGTTGTCGCTGGATTGAGGAGAGACGACGAACAGCCTCCATGCTAGAGTAATGGGGAGAAAAAAGCAACACCAAAGCTGTGCAGGCTCAGATAAGCTCCGTGCATGAGGAGCTTGATACTGGCGACAAGCCTTCACAATGCAGAGACCACAGACAGCTTCGGATATAGAACAAAGATAGCAATAAGCTGGTGAGACTATCCTATGATATGCTGCAATGGACGAAGAGTGGATTCCGCTCTACTTGGCTTCAAGCTCGCCTTTTAAAGGAGATTCAAGAAAAGAGCTTCCGTGTTGTCGACTCAGCGTATTTCTATCCTTCTTAAGTTAGAAGACGTCTTAAAGAGGGCATGAAGCTCTTACCTGGAGAAGGGTGTTTAAAATACTGCTGTGTTAGTCCGAAGGGTCCTTGGAAAATTTAACAGATCGTTCGTCATTCAAGTTATCGTCAAATGACCATCGGATGACTATGATTTGACAGTCATATAACAATAATGTTGGAATATGACGACTGAAATGACAAAACTCTTTCAGATCTAAAATGTCTTGGCCGTACAGAGTATTTTTTACAGATGCTACATCATAGTTAGCAGGAAGAAGGCCACTTTAAAAAATGGTAAGAGAGCCGCTAAAGTACGCTTAGAGTTAGCCTAACCGTAAGATTGCTTAGAGTATACCAGGATATGTAGCTAAAGCATCTGTAATCCAATGAGATTTCATCATTTATAACGTTATTTGTCAAAAATATGATCTTACTGTGGTCAAAATATGCCCCTCTGATCATACTAATATGGTCCTCATTTGACAGAATAGTTGCCATTCTCACTAACGGCACTTAGGCCACATTTTTAATTACCCCTTCTCCTGGTAAGTAGGACGGTCAGGCTCAAACTCAGCACATATTGACGGTAATTTACGGATCCGTACGGAGTAGTAACTTTCAGACCTGCTAGGCACTGCCAGTGCAATTGAGGAGTTTCTTGCCTTGGCATATGCACGCATCGGGAAATAGTTGTGCCGGACTCCTACTCTTATCCAGTACTACTACGCAAGCCGTTTTCGAACAAATTGATTGGCTTCCACATCACTCCTAGCCTCAGGCAACATGACAACAGAATCTGATGGTGTAGAGAATACAGCCCCTCGTGGTGTCAAGCGACGCTCGAACTCGCCACCACCCTGGCGACGATCGCAGAAAGCACAACGAACAAGCTATGCGAGTAGAGATGGCCCGAACCGACAAGAATCCGCTGCCACCTTCGAGAAACTGCAGAAAGATCAAGTTAGACTGAATCAGATACAAGAAGACGAAAGAGCCCGAGAATGGGTTGCTCAAGAGGACGAATTTGTTCTAAAACAGGCAAAGAAAAAGGCAGAGATCCGTGTCAAGGACGGCAGGGCCAAGCCTATTGATTGGCTCACAGTAGTCTTGCGGAGTATCGATACAACGCGAAACGCCTTAGACGATGAGTACGACACCAGTGAAATCGACATTGTTGATCCCAACACGGTCTTTGATAAGCTGTCTGAGGAACAACTGTTGGACCTCGAGAAAGATATTGATACCTTCCTACGCCTGGAGAAGAACACTCAGAACAAAGACTACTGGCGAGTAAGTTGAATCTGTCATGTCAGACCACGTGGCGCACACTGATCAGGTATTACAGACCATGAGAATCATTTGCCGAGATCGGAGGAAGAAGTCCACAGTGGATCCAGAAGGCCGTGCTGTAAGCTCTGTCTCGTCGGATATCGATCTTTTGTTAAGCCCAAAGTCTTTCGACGAGCTTGAAGCTCTGGAGGTGCAGATCAACCGCAAGCTGGTATCTGATGAGCCTATTGACACAGATTACTGGGAACAGCTGCTAAAGAGCCTCTTAACATGGAAAGCGAAGGCCAAGCTTGAAAAGTTGTATCAGTCTGCCCTCGACTCGCGATCCTCAGCACTTGTGCGCCAGACTGGTGCCACAACTGTGCATGTTGGAAAGAGGCAAGAACGTCCGAATAAAGGTACAGACAGCGGCTCTGTCATTTTCCCAATAACAGGTGATGCGATGCGGAAGCCAGAACAGAAGCCGACCACCGCTGAGACAGATGCAGCTCGAGCGGGCCTTGTTCTCTCGGAGCCATCCTCTGGAAGATTTGCTGCCATACCAACCGAAGACTTCTCCCAGGCGACTAAGGCACTTTACGAGAAAGAGGTAGCTCGCGGCATAAGTGAGAATGAGGAAATCTTTGCAGGAGAGGAAGATGTCGACACCAAGTCTAAAGCTCTCTGGTCCGGCAAGTACCGACCACGTAAGCCTCGTTATTTCAACCGGGTCCAGATGGGGTACGAATGGAACAAGTACAACCAAACCCACTATGATCATGACAATCCGCCTCCAAAGGTCGTACAGGGTTACAAGTTCAATATCTTCTATCCTGACCTGATCGACAAAACTAAAGCACCAACCTACAAAATCGAAAGAGAAGGGGGACGAAAGAAAGGGCAGTCGTTTGCCCCAGCCGGCGAGGAAGATACTTGCCTCATCAGGTTTATCTCTGGTCCGCCTTACGAGGACGTGGCTTTTCGTATTGTTGATAAAGAATGGGATTACAGCGCCAAACGCGAAAGAGGCTTCAAGAGCAGTTTTGATAAAGGGATCCTACAGCTTCATTTCCAGTTCAAAAAAGTCTTTTACAGGAAGTGATTACCACACAAGGGACCACAACGAGAATGCTAGGCGGCTGCTGCCTGCTTTCTGTTACTCGGCCTACAAAGACAGATTTCTTGTGCACGGCACTTTTGACTATCGCTCCTGAAGTGACCAAGCCTTTGTGATGGAGTAAGTGATGCGTCTACAGGGAGAGCCTTCTCACTCAATCTGGGACAGACAATGCGGTGGGGCGAGGTGAGCGGGGCGGTGATCTTTTCAGCATTTCCAATCATCTCAATTTCCTCTTCATTGCTTGGCCACCCGGGAGGACCTGCGGTGGCTTCCTTCTGAGAGCCCTGCCAAAGTCTAAGCCAATGCTCACTACACATTACTTACACAGCATTCTTCAGCAAGGATCCTGGTCTTGGCACAAGTTCACGGTCCGTGGCGGCCCTGGTCTGATACACAGGTTTTTCCCCATGCACGTCACTTCGGAAAATTATTGTGCAGTTGTGCAGCTGACAGATGCTTTTCCACGGGCTCTAAGCCACAAGTGTTTTGTTGTCTGGATTGCCCACTTTCCTTCTCTTCCGTGCTTCTTATCAAATCAGACTTTCTGTCCTGATTCCCATCAAACTTTTTCTACCAGCGATGCAAATATGGACATTTGTTACATTTCTCAGATCCTCAAAAGCCACCGATTTGCAGTGGTTGACCAATTTCCTCTGGTACTGGATTGCCCAGGGCCAATCTGCATTCACCCGGGTCTGGCAACCCAGCTAGCTTGGCCCATCGGCCCTAGCAGATGGCCAGCAGGCAGGCTGCATCTCAGCTGTCAATCATATCATCGACCTGCCACACATCCTCCGAGCCCTGTCACAGGACCAGATTATAACACCTTTCACGTATCATTCGTTCTGCTGATTCCAACGGATTTGTCGTACAAACACGAAAGAACCCCCCATTTCTCCAGCTAACCACAAGGGGGATAACACCACGGCTATACCTGCAGGTCTTCAGTACCCATCTGCGGCAACGGCGTTCTTTGTTTGTGTGCTCAACGGTCTTCGTCACTGTTTGCAGGGTCCCGATACTATACACACTAGCTGCAAAGGTGGATACGGCCCGAGCAGGTCATTTGGAAAGCTTCCATGCTGGTAGAAGCAACTATGGCTGTCAACCCGGGCGAATTAAAAAATCATGTCTGTTCTCTAGATAACTTCGTATATGTCCTACTACTCCCAGGTCCTGCATACTGACCCTGATAAGACTCTTGCACAACCCTCAGCTTCTCTTACTTTTGTGTTGGTATGAGCTAAACACTTTCATTTTATCACGACTGCTGCTTATCTGAAGTATCATCCTGGTATCTTCGCCCTGTCAGACTTCTCCATTTTGCGAGCTCGAAGGATGCAGGGATCATATGCTGCGCTCAGATCTTCGAGCTCGCTTTTTGACAGTTGTGATCCAATGGAGTTGCAGCAAGAGGATCTCTATTCCAAACAGCCGCTGCTGCTGGGAGAACGTGGCAACTACGTCGAGACCCAACCACAGTACTACAACACGGTGCAAGGCCTCGTTGATCATGAATCCATTGCGCACTCTGATAGAACACACGCCGGTACCTATCGAGATGCTGCACCTCTTCTCGGTTTGGGACTTCCAACGGGCCTATTTCAAAGCAATTGCTTTCGAGACCGTTGGCGTTATCATGAGACTTTGGAAGGACAAGAGCAGAATTATGTACCGGATTTTCAACCATCGCCCGCTCAATATCTGAACCAGGGGTTTGTGTATCCTTCACAGCCCACCTTTGACGAACCCTGTAACAAAGGTGGCACTTCAGACGTTGAAGTCTGGAAAGAAGACATGACCTCTTCGCCTACTAGTCCAAAGATTGATTCCTCACCTTCAATGGAAGTTTGGCCGCTGGAGTCGGATGAATCGATCTCAGCCTTTTGCTCAGAGTCCGGCATGCTCACGAAGGATAGCCAGGATGATGAAGAAGATTCCGGAGACAAACCATATGCGAGACTGATACATGAGGCGCTGATGCAGGCTCCTGGGCACAGGATGATGCTGAGGGAGATTTATGACTGGTTTGTGCAAAACACGACCAAGCCTAGCGAATCTGGCACCAATGGATGGCAAAACAGCATTCGCCATAATTTGTCAATGAACCAGGTTGGTGTCTGCAAATGTCTACATTGAACGAGGTTGACCAAATTAACAAATGAATCAGGCATTCGAAAACGATCGAAAAGATCCAGAAAACCCTGGACATCAAGCAAGGAAAGCTAACAGTGTATGGATTCTTACCGAAGACGCGATCAGGCATGGAGTCCAATCAACTACACGATATCGGAAGCATGGCAGCAACAAGAAAACAAACCGAGCCAGAATTCCAGCTCTACTCCGGCAACGGTCCGGAGCAAAAGGAGGGCGCGCTGCCAGAAGAGCCGCTAAATTGCGAAGAGAGGAGCAGATGAACCGCCGAAGCAGTAATCCAAGTTTCCAAAGCTCGAGACTTCAAACCTTTTATGGATTGCAAGACACAGATCAAACTTCACAAGATGCCGATCAATTCTCGGTTGCTTCTCCTCTCACACCCCAAAACGAACAAGTCATTCCATTTTCCCAGTCGCCTGATAGCAGCTCGTTCTACTACCATTTGCCAGAATTTTACGACCTGGGTTCTGAGCCACTGCCTGGCCAAATGGAACCGCCCTGCCAAGGAGAGCTTCAACCGAAGGCAGAAACCTGCATGAAAGAAACGCTACACTATCCTTACGCTTCGCCAACAGTACCTGTGGCAAGATGATTCTTTGCGGCGGAATGCAGCAATCATGGATTGTAAATGCCGCGTGGAGAGCTCTTGGATGGTTTGATGTCAGAAGGTCGAAATGAAATGATAGGTGCTGAAGATTGGTACCGAAAAAGTTTAACCAATGATGGTGCATCCTTCGTGGGGTCTCTGCTCTCATTCCATTAGTTTTTAAGCCCCTCCCAGTCATTCAGCAATGTGTTTTAGACATGAACGGGCCTGATCTCGCGATCTTGGGTGGCGACTTGACATGAATGCTGTTCCCCAAGCGCTCGGTGTATGGTGTGGCGTGGTTGCTTTGCAGAAGTCTTTCAATTGGCATTTCGTACTTTGTATGAATCATTATGCCAAAATTCTCTCACTATCTTGCAGAACACATGTCCCAGCCTTGAAGACTGAAAGTCAGTGATGGCAGCAGTTTTTACCGAGTATTTTGAGTTCTGAACCTCGTCTCTCGCTCCCCCTTGCTATAATGGTTCGTCGGAAGGGCGAGATGTAATCAGCCTAGCATGCTGCTCGCTCCGAAGTCTAGCAATCGACCTAATGCTGGGCTGTCCAGATCCTGTCAAAGGCTGATCTCACGTCTTCCTGTCCTACTGGGATTATGCTGAGTGTAGAAAGCCATCCCCTGGTCTCACCTTCTGTGAAGGATGGCGAAAGCCCATATCCAAATGGATTTGAGGCGCACAAGGGTACCATGCAGTCGCTATTTGATCGCGCAGGCCGTCCGTTAAAAGTGTCTCCAGATCCCTCCCATTTACAACGGCTCTTTAGAATTCACTTTCGTCCACTCCGAAGGCCCTCAAGAATCCTCCTAGTCGTTGATGACATGCCGGGATTGGATTTGCACTGGCTACCGCAAGGCCACACGACAAGGATGATTCATTTTGCTGGGCTGCATGGAATGCTTGACCCGAAATACGCTTGTTCAGTGATAACCAAACAAAATGATGTGATATCACATAATATCATCCCAATGCTCAACAACCCCCTCTCAACCGCCGCAGCTCAGTCGAGTATCGTCCGATGTCGCTGTCTGGCAATCCCAACCGAGAAACAAAACATCTCTAAATTCACAATAGAGTGGACCTTGCCCTGTCCGGCCCGAACCGAACCGGGTACAGAAAGAGACATCCTGACAGGTACGGCAGAGCAATTGAGGATGAGTGCACCGCTGGAATTGGATCATGCTGGGGTTTGGGGAGATCTTCTCAGGTCATCAATCATGGCTAGGACAGGCACTGAAACTGAAACTGAAACTGATAGCTCCGAAACTTGATGACTCGACAGTTCAGCAGGAATCTTTGGCCAGCCAAATCCTGCAGGGACAGAGTTCAGATCTCGGACTCGCCGGGTTACGAGGATTCTTAGGTTTATTCCCCAATCGAGCGAGGGTACATGTAGGTGTCAAGCCCTTGTTTGAAGCGCATGTGCCGAACCGTTGCTACATATGGGGCATTTTCATATGTACGGTAGCGTAGATGAAGACTTCTCTTAGTAGTAAGGCTTCTTTTTGTGTGCCTGAGACCAGCAAAATGGTCTGCATATTCAGTAAGCATAATTCAACACTCACCTACCTCAGGAGATTCTCTGCAAGCTTGCCCCACCATGCGTCTCTCCCACTTGCATCTCCCATCCAGGTTGTAAGGCCGAGGAAATGATAGCAGCGGACAATCCGGAGACAGTCATAAGAACCCCTTAACATGCTGTCCAATCAGTCTTCGCAAGACCTTTATCAGGCAGAACGATCACGACGCACTCTGCAAATTGTTCGCAAGAATGCTAGAGATACGGAAGACCACCACCACGACTTCAGCTTGAGCATAATTGCCTCTGGAATACACAAAATACTGCTTGATCCACATTTGGCATTTCTGTACTCCCTTCTCCTCTCCGAATCGCTGATCGCTCCTCACTACCCCCGTAATGGCAGCACGCTTGCGGCATGTACTAAGGTCACTTTCACTGCAGCCCAGGTGGCCTGCCCTACCTATCGTACGGTAACGTTTACGAAACCCAAAGTCTAGATATGATAGATCACTATGCAAATCCTTGTCTGGGTTGATCGCGGATAAGTGCAGCGATGACAGCGGCCTATTGCTTTGCCGTAGGATTTGACCTCTGACATCCCCGGCGGGCGTCTGACAGATGACCGAGCTCGCAATAGGTCGTTTCATCAACCCTGAAGAAGCTACTAGGAAACAATTCGACTGTCTCCTGATTCCACAGACGCCTGGAAGCTGCTCCATCCTTGCAGGCAGATGCTTCTACTCCCGCGCCCACCATCTCGTTCGTTCTGCATTTGACTGAAAAGACACTTTTACGACCCTCTATCAAGGATATTGTGTTCCGATTTTGTTGACCGAAGTCCCACAGAAGTTTAAACCTTGGCTTTTTTTTTCCATACGTGTGCTATATTGTTTGGTTGATAGCCAGTCTCGGTCCCTATGAGTCACCAGCGCTCATCCGACCTCCGCCCCGTTCGAAACTCTCCGCTCCTTCCTCCGTCAAGAGCTCAGGATGATAGTCTTCTCAAAGCGACGGCTTCTTTGCTCGAACCCTAATGGTCGTGTTGCTACCCCTGTAAGCGCAGGATATCGAACAGGTCAATGATCAATCCTCAGTCTAGCCGTTCAAAAGAGGCTATTTCATGGCCGGAGACCCAGATGATAAGTACGGCTAGCGATGCTATGTTAGGGTTGCATATTCTTCCATGCGCAATGGCTATGAACAGCATCGGATGGCCCAAAGATGGAAGCGCATGAGGAGCACGAGACGGAGTTACTGCTCATCAATGTTGGAAGTGTGCTGCAGCCCAATTCGTGCAAGCGCACTTGTATCAGGCTCAAGTATTGAGTTCCAGGTAGCTGCTAATAATACCTTTGACACAGTCTTTTATTTACGTTGCTGGAAGGACATGCACAACATAGTCGGCCAGCATGGGAGGTATCTCGAAGCAGGTCTCCCAATGCAAAATCCTCTACCAAATGAAGAAGACTCTGTACTGCTTCACATGATAATACCTGTGACAGCAGTTAGTGGCCACCAAATACTCATCAGTCCGTTGCAGCACCACCCCACAGCCCGTTCGGGCCAGACGTCCATGTTCGACGGTTGGAGCTCATGCACGTAAGCATAGCTGTCCTCCCTGTCAAAGGCTGTCATTGCAGCATGGCCTGCAAAACTTGGACTCTCAGGATTTGGAAGCGCAGCATACGGATTGGAGATGGTCCAACAGCAAAGCACCCCCTTGAAATCTCGTTACACCTTGAGTGGTAAACCATGTTTCCATACATCTAACCGTTCCTAGGTGCTTCGGCTTCCCCGTATGCACTGGCAATCCAACCCCCTGCCACCAGCCGTGACAGCTTCCACGACATGGCTCAACCGCCTGTTCTTTGGCTGCACCGGTCCTACAAACCTGGTTGCCTCGCTCACCTCATTTCTTTCTGCCAGAGCTCCATCTAAACTTTAATCCGATTGAGCTGTCCTTGACACCCGGGGCTTTGCCCTCCCAGCTGAGGTGACAAATGTTTGTTGCGGTAAGATCTGGCTCTGACCGAAAATTACACAGCATGATCTATCATCCCGAAAGAGCAATCATTTTACCAAAACCCCATGCTCAGGTCGTACGAAACTCAGATTTAACAACCGACCGGTTCTGCTTCCTGTTTCCCCCGTCCACTAAGTTCAATCTAGAAATCGTGCCTGAGCTGCATATTGCGTCTCTGACACCTCGCTCATTCTTGTCGCCAAGCTTTCGGCACTCTGTTACTTTCCTGATGCACTTAGGTGGACGCTCAAGTCGTCCCTCTCACACCGCCACTGCTAATCCTGTCCCTTCTGTACCCTTGTTTCGCCATAGTTCAATCTGCGCCATTGTCTCCTCCCCACATCGACCTGTTCCCTGACTAGCCAACTTGCATTTCAGGTTGTACGAGCAAAAGGTGTCATATCTGATAGTCGTGCTACCGAGATTATCTCTAGGGAGACAATTACTGCTTTGGTTACCTTGTGCCTCCGCTAGACTGCCACTGTGCGATCTATGCTGCTGCGGTGGATGGAGTCACCTGTGCAACGGCGTTCTACTACAATGGCGATATGACAGCTGTCGGCAGCCGGGGCATCTACCAAGGCGCGGAGAAGAGGGCATTCACCCTGAGAGTGGTCTAGAGTGGCCATATCTGGTATAGACAATAACTTGATGCAGTCAGCCCGATGGTATTCTTCGTTATGCCCAGTTCTAGCCGGTACGGTATCAATTGAGGTTAGATACCCGGGCTTGGACCTGGTAAAGTCATCCGGCGATGTCTATGGAGTATGGTCACTCCATGCCTCGGTTGACGAAGCAAGTCCCTTCTCGTCACTCATTTGGTTGTAAGGTCTGGAATGGCCTTCCTAGTCCTTGTGTGCTTCGTCCAGCATCTGTATATTTTGCAAGGCTCAACGCATATAGCCCGTGTCGACACGCCAACAAGCCGGACGAATGGCCTGGATAATCAGTGAAGGATTGCACGGACCAACACCCTTACTTGGGTAAGTTACAGGAAACAGGTTGCTAGATGGGCATATAGTATCAACTCAGCCAGATTCAACCCTATAGTAACAAGCAAAGCCTAGTAACTTAGATTGACTGGGAAAAAGTGGGAATCAATACCGATATTTTGGTAGAAATTTAACAGGTAGGTTCTTCAGTTGCTCTCGAACATTTGTCAGGAAACCAGAAACCAGATACCAGAGTGACTCTTAACTTCAATGAAAGCAAATCATGGTGAGATGACGCCACCTTGCAAATTTCGAGATGTGATGACGGGCTTGTCATCCAAGCACCTCTATTTCTTGCTCTCTTTGCTAGTGTTCACGAAGATGTGAGAATGATCAATGTAGCTGGATTTTATCGATGACTTTCTGTCAGACTACACATTGAAAGTTCACCCTTGAGCCAGCGTGATAGAAGCTCTGGCAATCCAATTGATTGAAACTGCCTTAGCTGAGCCCGACTCTAATGTCAGTAATCGTTTCTCCATCCCCACCTTCCACTCACTTTTCCTCGTTTGATCCTCATTTCTTCCCTGTCTTCTTCTCTTGACTCTCTTTCAGAACCTTCTTCACAATCTTCTGCTCCTCAATTAAGAATGCCCTCACAATCCTGTCCCTCACACAATTTGCGCATCTCGACCCTCCATAAGCGCGTGATACTGACTTTTGCGTCTTCGACATGGTGGCGAGTTCTCGTGGTCGGGTGGCTTGAAGACCAGGCAGCTTGATCTTGCAGTCGCCACATTTCGGTGCTGAGCCACGCTTCTTGATGTGTAGGTAGCGGAGCTTGCCGCCAGGGGTCTTGATTATGCGGGTCTTGTTGGAGCGGGTATTGTAGCTGGTAGAAGATTAGTTCTGAAGATCCTGAGTAGGGTGATGCTGTAGAAGGAGAGTCGTACGGATTTCTTCGTCGCTGTTGAAGTTGTGGTTAGTCATTGAATATTCTGTTTTTGGTGTGTTGGTTGGCAACTTACGTATTGTAGGCGGACAGACGTCATCTTGACAGTGAGTGCGGATCTTAGAGGGCGATAAACTGCGACGAGGAGGCTAGTTACTTGATGTCGTTGTCGTTCAAAATTATTGTTATTTGGGACACTTCAATGTGTGGGCTGCGAAAGTTCGAGCTAACCCGAAGTGGGTCTGGTTGCTCCAAGCGCCACTTCAAGATATCGAGAACCACCGCAGGAAGAAAAGTACGCTCCCTCTTACATCTTCGGTGAACAGTCAAATCGAAGGACGTTTACTGCGTCATACTTTCGTTACGCGCTGGGGGTCCCGCTCCTACGAGCGAAAAGTGGATGATACTGATGGTGAGTAATCTAAAAGCTTCACACTCCTGAGCAGTATTCATCATCCTTCGACACCAGTTTCCGTCACCATCAAGATGAGCTCTATTCCGCCTCCACCTCCACCAGGGTGGTCGGCCGCTCCTCCGCCGCCTGGCATGGCACCACCGCCTCCCGGCTATCGTCCTCCAGCCGATCCACAGGTTGCGAAGTTCGCTCAGAAGAAAAAGGAATGGCTGCGGACACAGAGAAACCGCTTTGCAGAAAAACGGAAGGGTGGTTTTGTGGAGACACAAAAGGCGGATATGCCACCTGAACATCTGCGCAAGATCGTGAAGGATATTGGCGATGTCAGTCAGAAGAAGTTCAGCACCGACAAGAGGAGCTATCTCGGCGCCCTGAAATTTATGCCACATGCGGTCCTCAAGCTGCTCGAAAACATGCCAATGCCTTGGGAGTCTGCTCGGGAGGTCAAAGTCCTGTATCATGTCAATGGTTGTCTTACGCTGGTCAACGAGATACCAAGGGTTATAGAACCAGTCTTCCATGCGCAGTGGGCCACCATGTGGGTATGCATGAGGCGGGAGAAGAGCGATCGAAGACATTTCAAGAGGATGAGATTTCCACCGTTCGATGATGAAGAACCGCCTCTGTCCTGGACAGAGAATATTGAGGATGTTGAGCCCTTGGAACCCATCCAAATGGAGCTGGATGAGAACGAAGATGGGCCAGTGTATGAGTGGTTTTACGACCATAGACCCTTGATCGACACTCCCCATGCGAATGGGCCCAGCTACAAGGAATGGAACCTCACATTACCACAGATGGCAACTTTGTATCGGTTGAGCCATCAACTGCTTAGCGACGTTGTGGACAAGAATTATTTCCATATGTTTGACAGAGAAAGCTTCTTCACAGCCAAAGCACTAAATGTTGCCATTCCAGGCGGGCCCAGGTTCGAGCCGCTGTACAAGGATGTGGATCCGAATGATGAGGACTTCGGAGAGTTCAATGCTATTGATCGCATCATCTTCAGAGCCCCTATCAGGACAGAGTATCGCGTTGCGTTTCCCTACCTCTACAATTCGCTGCCGAGAAGTGTCAAATTGTCGTGGTATTCCTATCCTCAGGTTGTTTACGTGCGCTCCGAAGACCCAAATTTACCTGCTTTCTATTTTGATCCTGTCATCAATCCTATTTCCTCACGGTCGGTCGCGCCAAAGAACATTACCGTCAGCCACGAAGATGAGATATTCGGGCCAGGTAATAACGAAGACGACGAATTCGAGTTGCCAGGAAATGTGGAACCATTTTTGGCGGATGAAGAACTCTATACCGCTGAGACGGCTTCAGCTATCTCCCTCTGGTGGGCGCCATTCCCCTTCGACCGTCGGTCGGGGAAGATGGTGCGAGCTCAAGACGTACCATTGGTAAAGCGATGGTATCTAGAGCATTGCCCCCAGGGCCAGCCCGTAAAGGTCAGGGTATCCTACCAGAAGCTGTTGAAATCGTACGTCCTTAATGAGTTGCACAAGAAGAAGCCAAAAGCTCAGAATAAACAATACCTCCTCAAAACCCTTAAGTCTACAAAGTTCTTCCAGCAAACAACCATAGACTGGGTCGAAGCGGGCCTGCAGGTGTGTCGACAGGGTTTCAACATGCTGAACCTCCTCATTCATCGCAAGAATTTGACATATTTGCACCTGGACTATAACTTCAATCTCAAGCCTGTCAAGACTTTGACGACAAAAGAGCGCAAGAAGTCCAGATTTGGAAACGCCTTTCATTTGATGCGGGAAATTCTTAGATTGACGAAATTGATCGTTGATGCCCAGGTCCAGTATCGGCTGGGCAATATCGATGCGTTCCAATTAGCCGACGGGATCCTATATGCCTTCAACCACGTTGGTCAGCTGACGGGCATGTACCGTTACAAGTATAAGCTCATGCATCAAATCCGATCCTGTAAAGATCTCAAACATTTGATCTACTATCGCTTCAATTCTGGACCGGTTGGTAAGGGGCCTGGTTGTGGATTTTGGGCACCAGCCTGGCGGGTGTGGCTCTTCTTCATGCGTGGCATTATTCCCCTGCTCGAACGATGGCTCGGCAATCTACTTTCTCGGCAATTCGAAGGTCGTCATAGTAAGGGTGTTGCGAAGACAGTCACGAAGCAGCGAGTTGAGTCGCATTTCGATCTCGAACTACGCGCTTCAGTCATGGCAGATTTGATGGACATGATGCCTGAAGGCATCAAGCAAAACAAAGTCAATACTGTCTTACAGCATCTTTCCGAAGCCTGGAGATGTTGGAAGAGTAATATTCCATGGAAAGTGCCTGGGCTCCCTGCCCCTATTGAGAATATCATTCTCCGCTACGTCAAAAGTAAAGCCGACTGGTGGATTTCGGTAGCACACTACAACCGCGAGCGAATACGAAGAGGCGCCACTGTTGACAAAACTGTGGCAAAGAAAAATCTTGGTCGATTGACTCGATTGTGGCTGAAATCTGAGCAAGAGAGACAGCACAACTACATGAAGGATGGCCCTTATGTATCATCTGAGGAAGCAGTCGCTATTTATACAACCACAGTGCACTGGCTCGAGTCCCGAAAATTCTCCCCAATTCCGTTTCCAAGCGTATCCTACAAGCATGACACCAAAATCCTGATTCTAGCGCTCGAAAGATTACGGGAAGCCTACTCCGTCAAAGGCCGTTTGAATCAAAACCAAAGAGAGGAGCTGGCTCTTATCGAGCAAGCGTATGATTCTCCAGGCACCACGCTTGCGAGAATCAAGCGCTTTCTCCTAACTCAACGAGCTTTCAAAGAAGTCGGTATCGACATGAACGATAACTACAGCACAATAAATCCTGTGTACGACATCGAACCAATCGAAAAGATTACAGATGCATATCTTGATCAATACCTCTGGTATCAGGCTGATCAGCGTCATCTGTTTCCGGCATGGATCAAGCCGTCCGATTCAGAAGTGCCACCCTTACTAACCTACAAATGGGCTCAGGGTATCAACAACCTCACCAAAGTCTGGGAAACCGAGGATGGCCAGTGCAACGTGATGATCGAAACACAGCTATCGAAAGTCTACGAGAAAATTGATCTGACATTGCTCAATCGTCTTCTGCGGTTGATCATGGATCACAACCTGGCTGATTACATTACATCAAAGAACAACGTTCAGCTGAACTATAAGGACATGAATCACACAAACAGCTACGGCATGATCCGTGGACTTCAGTTTTCTGGATTCGTATTTCAGTATTATGGATTGGTCACCGACTTATTGTTGCTCGGCCTGCAGCGTGCCAGTGAGATTGCAGGCCCTCCCCAAAGCCCAAACGACTTCTTGCAGTTCCGAGACCGTGAGACCGAGACGCGTCATCCGATCAGGTTGTACACTCGATATATCGACAAGATATGGGTATTCTTCAGGTTCACCGCAGACGAGTCACGCGATTTAATCCAGCGCTTTTTAACCGAACAACCAGATCCGAATTTTGAAAACGTCATCGGTTACAAGAACAAGAAATGCTGGCCACGAGATTCTCGCATGAGACTGATGCGACACGACGTCAATCTGGGCCGAGCAGTTTTCTGGGATCTCAAGAACCGCTTGCCTCGATCAGTTACCACCATCGAATGGGACGACACCTTTGCTAGCGTTTACAGCAGGAACAATCCAAACCTGCTGTTCTCAATGTGTGGGTTTGAGGTGCGGATTCTGCCTAAGATCAGAAATCAGGCCGAGGAATTCCCTGTCAAGGATAGTGTATGGGCTTTAGCGGATAATACGACCAAAGAGAGGACAGCACATGCCTTCTTGCAGGTCACTGAAGAAGATATTCAGAAGTTCAACAACAGAATACGACAGATTTTGATGTCTTCGGGATCGACAACATTCACCAAGATTGCCAACAAGTGGAACACGACTTTGATCGCTCTCTTTACTTACTACAGGGAGGCCGCTGTTTCTACGATCAATCTGCTTGACACCATTGTCAAATGCGAGACCAAAATCCAAACCCGTGTTAAAATAGGTTTGAATTCAAAAATGCCTTCGCGGTTCCCCCCTGCTGTATTTTATACACCAAAGGAATTGGGCGGCTTGGGCATGATATCAGGCTCGCACATTCTGATCCCTACTAGCGATAAGCGTTGGTCGAAGCAAACAGACACGGGCGTGACACATTACCGGGCTGGGATGTCACATGACGAAGAGACATTGATCCCGAACATCTTCAGATATATCATACCCTGGGAAGCTGAGTTCATCGATTCTCAGAGAGTCTGGACAGAGTACTCGCAAAAGCGGATGGAAGCGAATCAACAGAATCGTCGACTTACGCTGGAAGACCTAGAAGATAGCTGGGATCGTGGTCTCCCACGGATCAATACACTGTTTCAGAAAGATCGAAGCACCCTTAGCTTTGACAAGGGTTTCCGAGCCCGGACAGAATTCAAAACATACCAGTTGATGAAGAGCAATCCATTTTGGTGGACCAGTCAACGACACGATGGAAAGTTGTGGAATCTGAATGCCTACAGAACAGATGTCATCCAGGCGCTTGGCGGTGTGGAGACTATCTTGGAGCACACTCTGTTCAAGGCGACAGCCTTTCCATCTTGGGAAGGCTTGTTCTGGGAGAGAGCATGTCTCGCCAATGGGACTATGCTGTTGCGCTATGATGGCTCTAAGGTCGCCGTCGAAGATGTCGTGGAAGGAGATCTACTTCTCGGTCCCGATGGTGGTTCCCGTCGCGCATTCAACGTCGTGAAAGGTACGGATAGGCTGTATCGTATTAAGATTGGTTCTCGCAAAGAGGATCTGGTTGTTACGCCAAACCACATCTTGGTTCTACACCGGGTGGTAGCTGAGCGATATGATACCGTTGAGATGACCGCTGCCGAATTCGCTTCTCTTGAGCCAGAAGAGAGAGCCAAACACAGGCTCTTCAGATGTCCTGATTTTGAGCTACCCAAGCAGAATGTGCCAGTCAACCCCTATTTTCTGGGCCTGTGGCTGGGAGATGGCAGGCGTAATAGCAGTACCATCTACCGCAATCACGAAGCTGCAGTCCGGGAGTTTCTTGCCTGTTACGCGCGCAAAAAACCAGTCGAGCGTTTCAACCCACAAGCGCATAGCTTCATCATTAAGGACATCGTGCTCGAAGCTGAGCCCACGAAATGGGCTGGTTTCCGGGTCGACAAGGACCAACTGTACTTGCGACACGACTACCTTGTGCTCCACAACAGCGGCTTCGAAGAATCTATGAAATTCAAGAAACTGACAAATGCTCAGCGATCTGGTCTCAACCAGATTCCGAATCGTCGATTTACATTGTGGTGGTCGCCAACCATCAATCGAGCCAACGTCTATGTAGGATTTCAGGTTCAGCTCGACCTGACTGGCATCTTCTTGCATGGAAAGATCCCCACGTTAAAAATCTCACTCATTCAGATCTTCCGTGCGCATTTGTGGCAGAAGATTCACGAGTCTGTGGTCATGGATCTGTGCCAAGTTTTCGACCAGGAGCTTGAACAGCTGGGTATTGAGACAGTACAGAAGGAGACGATCCATCCCCGAAAGTCATACAAAATGAACAGCTCTTGCGCAGATATTCTCCTCTTTGCAAGTCACAAATGGAACGTTACACGACCTTCCCTTCTATTTGACACCAAGGACCAGATTGAAGCAACTACGACAAACAAGTTCTGGATTGACGTTCAGCTACGGTACGGCGATTACGATTCGCATGATATTGAAAGATATGTCAGAGCCAAATACCTTGACTACACCACCGACAGCATGAGTATATACCCTTCCGCTACAGGTTTGATGATAGGAATCGATCTGGCGTACAATCTATACTCAGCCTATGGACAATACTTCCCTGGTCTCAAAGCGCTCGTTCAGCAAGCGATGGCGAAGATCATGAAAGCAAATCCTGCGTTGTATGTGCTCCGAGAGCGCATTCGAAAGGGACTTCAGCTTTATGCTTCTGAAAGTACTCAGGAATTCCTCAACTCACAAAACTACTCCGAGCTGTTCAGCAATCAAACACAGCTTTTCATCGATGACACAAATGTGTATCGGGTCACCATCCACAAGACGTTCGAGGGTAATTTGACAACAAAACCAATTAATGGGGCGATCTTCATATTCAACCCGCGGACTGGTCAACTATTTTTGAAGATTATTCACACAAGTGTATGGGCTGGACAAAAGCGACTTGGACAGCTTGCTAAATGGAAGACTGCCGAAGAAGTTGCTGCCCTCATTCGCTCCTTACCAGTTGATGAGCAGCCAAAGCAACTGATAGTCACTCGGAAAGGTCTTCTTGACCCGTTGGAAGTGCATCTGCTCGACTTTCCAAACATCTCTATTCGAGCTTCAGAACTGCAATTACCATTTCAAGCAGCGATGAAGGTAGAAAAACTGGCAGACATGATTCTTCGTGCTACAGAACCCCAAATGGTGCTTTTCAACCTCTACGACGAATGGCTCAAGACGGTATCCTCATACACTGCCTTTTCGCGGCTAGTACTTATTTTGAGAGCATTGCACGTCAACACCGACAAGACGAAGCTCCTGTTGCGACCAGACAAGACAGTTATCACCCAAGCACATCACATATGGCCGTCGCTGTCGGATGAGGACTGGATCAAAGTTGAAGTGCAGCTCCGTGATCTGATCTTAAATGACTATGGCAAGAAGAACAACGTCAATACCCAATCTCTCACAAGCAGCGAGGTGCGAGACATCATTCTTGGGATGGAAATATCAGCACCATCGATGCAACGGCAACAAGCGGCAGAGATCGAGAAGCAACAGCAGGAACAACAGCAGTTGACGGCAGTGACCACCAAGACGCAGAACGTTCGGGGTGAAGAGATCGTTGTCACTACGACATCACAATATGAGCAACAGGCATTTGCGTCCAAGACGGAATGGAGAACTCGGGCCATTGCTACATCGAACCTGCGGACGAGAGCAAACAACATTTACATATCCTCGGACGATATGCATGAGTCGGAAGACCGCTACACCTACATCCTGCCCAAAAACGTTCTCAAGCGCTTCATTGCCATTGCTGATCTGAGGGTGCAAGTTGCTGGCTATCTATATGGATCTTCTCCACCCGACAACGATCGAGTAAAGGAGATCCGCACGATTGTGATGGTTCCACAGGTTGGCAATACTCGCGATGTGCAGCTTCCTCAGCAGTTGCCACAGCACGAGTACCTGAAAAGCATGGAGCCTTTGGGTATCATTCATACAGTGTCTGGCAACGAAGCACCGTACATGACAGCAGCAGATGTTACTATGCACTCGCGTCTGATGGCCGCCCACCCGGCTTGGGACAAGAAGACGATTACCTTGACCGTCTCCTTCACTCCAGGATCGGTCTCTCTATCGTCGTGGGCACTCACACCCGCCGGCTACACCTGGGGAGCACAAAACAAGGACACGTCATCCGACTCTCCTGCCGGCTTCAGCACTTCCTTTGGAGAGAAGTGTCAATTGCTGCTGAGCGACAAGATTCGGGGCTATTTTCTGGTGCCTGAAACGGAGCAATGGAATTACAGTTTCATGGGAGCGGCGTTTGCGAGCGTGGAGAAGAGGCCAGTGTATTGCAAGATTGACCAGCCACGGCCGTTCTACGATGCTATGCATCGGCCGGTGCATTTTAGCTCATTTGCCGAGCTGGAAGTCTCTTTTGATCGGGAAGATGTGTTCGCTTAGTCAAACGACGATTGCCGCTGAAGATGCGATCATGTACTTTGTAATAGTCTTGTTCCAACATTTTTTCTTCTATTTCTATTTTTGTTCGAACGCTTGCCTGACGCCTCAACATAGGAAGTTGGACCGCTTCGCCCCAAAGGGAGTAAGGGGGCAAGGGGCCATTATTCCCCACAATCCACTACTCGGTTCCGCCAACACGTGGCCGCTAACACTAGCTGATATTTCATGAATTATTGACAGGTCTGAGCCTCGGTGATGGGCACCAGATGGTCATTACTTATGAAATGTTGGATCACCCCAACAGAGAGGAAGGGGCACAAATGTTGTTGGGCTAATGCTAGTACCGGCTAGTTATGATACAATGTCACACAGCCTGATTGGCTTTGACCTCCCTTCTTGGCGTGCGCTGTACCCACTGTATTCGTGTGACCAACAAAGCTGATCAAATGGATATCGCTCCTTAAAAAGCTCAGGTAGAAAAAAGGATTGCAGCAATCTGTTTGTGCTTCTGTAGTCAAGTTTTTCGAGGTTTTTTAATTGGAGGAATAGAGAGATGTAGATCATCAGATAATCCGTGTAAGCTTACTAGCGTCAGCTTAACAGTATTTAATATGGTATTGACTTCCCCCCGCCCTCCGCCCTTAGTACGTATGGCTGGTGGAGCGCTTCTGGAGGTAAAGGACATAAATGATGTTTGGAAAGCTTCGACCTCCTGAGTTGTCGGTGAGAATTCATCAACTAAGCGTGGTTCGGAACCCATTACCGTTGTTCTTTTGGTGGAGTGGTTGATGTGTCGTTCCCGACTGGCATGCTAGAACCGGTGCGTCTTATTACATAACGCCTGGACTGCTTATGTCAAGCAGCGGAAGACCAACCGTTGCATGATTGTAGAACGTCTCACATCCTTCTAGGGTGCTATATGCCAGCGCCAGCCACAGCGGTCCGAACCAGCGCTATTCATGTTATTGTTGTGGTGTTGCAAATGCGTCTTATCTGGCATGTTGACGCCTATGCTCGAGCACCATTGACACAATTAGGAAAGTGCTTATCCGACAGCATAGAGCTACCGAGACAGCCGAAGGACCATTCCAGCAATTGTCCCTCTCATATTTGGAATGATCGGTCGTATCCAGACTCAGCAGGACCTCCGGTCTCTCTCAAGCAGTGCTGGGTAACCGCTTTAGCGTACTGCGCGCGGTTGGGTTGGGTCTGCCAATTCTGCTCAGTGCCTAACTGATTTAGTTCATTTCCTAAGCCCGGGGGCAGACACTGTAATAATATCTGTTATTAATGGGGGCCGAACATCCCCCATTCACGCTCTTGAACGCCTTCCACTTCTCTGCCAGAGTGGATTGACAAGAAGACCCTGCTGAACGCTCCCATGGTTAGTTTACCCGATGTCAGAATTCAGAGCCATGGATTGGAAGATCACTAAGATGCAGGTGATCTAGATGCAGAACCCGGAGTCAATCGTCACCCTATTCGCATTTTCAGTATTGTGTCGACCCTATACCATAGCCTCCAAGTGAGACTAAAGGATCGTATGCGCTCCTTCTGCAAACGTTGCCCGACTGCGTCTTGTGATTCTTATTGCTCCCCCCGTGTTGATGTGCTAGAATGTGACGGCCTCCAGCAAGCTTCGCCAAAGGATGCCTAGACCCTTGACGTGCAGGTCGAAGGGTGAAACGAGCGGTCTACTGCCCAGCATTCAACTATCTCTCGACTGCCAGGTGTAATCTACATTCTACCCAATCCACCTACAGCATCCTGTCTGAATGCTTGGCTTCACTTTGTGGGCCCCAGCACTTCCGTCACTCCGCGGTCGCCCTTCGAAGGAAATTGACAGCTAGCAATCCTTGGTTGCTTACTTAAATGGCCTCGAAATGGGGCCAGCGTCAAAAAACGAAGTAGGATTCTTCTTGTGGGTGGCCCGAACAGCAGGGGGTCCACGTGGATGTTTCAGACGAAGCCTCTAACGGCAGGGATAAGATCTCAAGAATCCATTCCAGATATAGGAGCCGTGAAAGCATGAAGGCATTGCATAACATTCGTGTTTGTACCGTCTTAGGCCATCGTACATACCGTGGCTAGGTTTACCAGGATACTAAACGGTCTCAAAGCCATGGGTGGAAGCTGTTCCCACCTGAGGGACAGAGATCACTTACTAGAGTCACTTTGAATCTCATAACTGTTCCTGACTTTCTGATAACACCATGCGCCCAGGGATGAGATCTCCTTAAGATCATCTGCTGTTCGCTGTCGCGCTGGCACTTTGGCCATTGTTTTGCTGAGTACTTATCTTTGTACCTTTTTCCTACTCGTTCTCCGATATCTCGTATCCAGTGCCGCATCTTCGCTAGAGACCCTGTACGGAGGTTCTTACTTTGGTTCTTATGATTATCCTACAACCACGTGTGCTTGATGAAAAGGTTCCAGAAGAATTTAGCTCATAAGACACATTATTTCAGCCACTTACATACCTCTTGGGCAACACTATCTGCGCTTCTCCTTGCACGTGCAAAATAGATGCAAGGTCGACACACTGGCGGATCCATACCAACAGTATAGTGCAGAAAATCCATTCCCAGGCCAATCTGCTGCAGAAGTCCCACAGCGCAAGCTCATATTCGTTCCGCATCGGTCCACGTCGCAGACGCCTCAACCACTTTCGCAAGCCGAGTACACGTTTCCTACGCCAAATACCCAACACAGCACCTTCCCGTCACAAATTCCCGTCCAGACGACAGGATTTTCTCACCAGATAGAGCCCAGTTTCCCACAATCTCAATATCTCCAGCACGAATCTTTCAGTCACGTCCAGCCGTCAAGATACGCAGCTGCACCAAGCCAAGCTCCACCATCACTTCCTCGAGGCACTAAAAGATCTCACCCAGCAGCCAACGATCCCGTTGCTGGTCGGCACACTAGGCTTCTCCTTCCTGGTACGCCGTCCACAATGGGATCAATGGCCCTTGGCGAACCATTACATTCGACATTCCCAAATTGGTCTTATAGAAGCCAATTTCTCTCTCAGCAAATGCCCCAACCACAGTATCAGTCGCGAGAATATCAGCCCCTTGCCGCACATCAACATCATCACCATCGCCTTCCCATTCAAACCCGACATGAAAGTCTGCCCCCTCTGCTTCATTCGAGCCCGCCTGGAATACTGCCTGGGACAAGCGTGGTGGGCCAGGAAGGCATGCCAGAACCGGCGTCACGGCCCAGAGGGCCCAAGTTGAAGTTTACTGCCCAGGAAGATCAGATGCTGGTAGAGCTGAAGGAGAATAAAAACCTTACCTGGAAGCAGATAGCAGATTTCTTTCCCGGCCGGACCAGTGGCACGTTACAGGTTCGGTATTGTACGAAGCTCAAAGCGAAAACTGTCATCTGGACAGAAGATACTGTGAGTTGCGCTTCGTCACACGTGTATGCACCACCTTGGCTGACGGTCATCTATAGGTACAGAGACTACGCAGGGCCATGGAGGAATACGAGAATGACAAATGGCGACTGATTGCAGCCAAGGTTGGCAGCGGTTTCTCACCCACGGCCTGTCAAGAAAAGGCCGAGGAGATGGAGATTCAAGAGGAGTACGAAGACACATCCAGTCCTGAATCACAGACTGCGGGTTCTGCCCCTATGCAACCTTACAGTGCAAGCATGTTCTCTTCACCAGCCATCTCTACTACTGCGGAATCTTACAGCACAATGAGCTCGAGAGCAGAATCACAACCAGCAATCTCTGCTCCCATGTACAGCTTCACCACTATGGGTTCATGAAGGAGACTGCGCCTGAAAGGGCCAAGTCTATATGTCGTTGATCGACAGATTGGTGGTCCTCATCGATCCACCGCGGAGCAAGCGGTCACGCAGGCCTCACGATGGCCACAGACCGTTGCATAATGCCTTCACGGCCACAGACACGATGTACGAATACGTCCAGAACGGGCGCGGGCGCCCTCTGGGTCTTGGCGAAACCTTGTCGATCACATCTGCATCATCCTATAAAGCCGGAAGGAGCAGGCACTGGGAGCGTTTGCCAGCCTGTGATCCATGAGCATGCATACAGGGGGGGGGAAGTCTTAATGCTATCAGAGGCGTTCTTGTCGCTAGAATGTAACACTAGATAAACTGTAAAATCAGCATCAGCATATTGCATGTATAACATCAAAATCTTCATACATACTAGCAGACTCGATACAATATCGAGTTGCGAATTGCGACATACAGTATGCACGAACGATTGTTCGCTTCACGTGCTTGGCAGTGGTCAAAATACTCGTACTAGTACTGTATGCCTCATGCGGCCTGAAACCGAAGCGCTGCAGCGGCGCAGCGGCGCAGCGGCATGCGGCCTTAAAGTTCTTCCTAGATTTACTAGCTTTACGGAGTACTACTAGTAGTTAGATTCATCATGGAACTTTTCACACCAGACCAATTCCTTTGCTCCTACCACGACGCCTCGAAAGGGACCCGGTAAACCCGGTAAGACACGGTAAGACGCGCAAGCCAGTTAGTTAGCAGCCTGATACGATGGCTACTCAATTCAGGCCCTAGCCAGAAACAAAGCCCCAGATCCATCCCCATGCCCGTCAAACATGCGCTGCCGCACGTGGCGTTCCTCTATGGGGAGAGGAAGACACATAACACAAGTCCAAAGCCTCATGTTTTCCATCGATATGTACGGGCATGAAACCCGTCTCTGAACGAAAAAGTTCGATGACGTTGGCCCCGTAGACTGGGGGAATGCGGCTATGCGAAAAGTCCGATGACCCACTCTCTGCTCCTGCTCCTGCTCCTGCTCCTGCTCCGTGGCGACGAGCCAAGTGCAGTCGCACCGGACAAATCCAGAGTGACGCCTCTCGTGCAAACCATGGGCAGGCGAATTCGTGTAGCTGGAATGGTGATTGCAGGATGCGGGATGCCAGCTGTTTGTTGTCGAGCAGCAGGGGAGGGTAGAATCTTGATGGCAGCTAAAGAGCAAGGGCCGATTTTGGTGGGGCTTCTAGAAAGCGATGGAGGAGGATCTGGATGGATGAGTTTACGATGTTACATGGCATGGCATGTTTGGCGCCGGTGGATGATGGGATGACCTAGTTGGCCATAGGCAGTCGGTACGAAAGCATCTCCAGTCTCATGGAAGACGGCATCAGCAGAAACTTGGAGCTGTACCGTGATCATTGAAGGAGAAAGGCGACTAAAACAGAGGCTTACTACGTAGGAGTGAATCAGAATTGATGGGCTACTGGAGTAATAGTAATAGTCGACTGTACTTATCAATGAGGCTGAAAGGCGAAGATGCCAAGCCTCATCTCCTCTCCAAGCTCCCACCTCAAGCTCGACCACATTCCAGTATCTCCCTCAACGAGACTGCAACAGCTCGAGAAGATCCATCTACACCTACGACGACATGCTCGCTTCACGCGGCGTCTCCTCGATTGCGAGGCGGCTGCCTCTGAAAGCAAAATCACTCGCTAACCGAAGCTTCTCCGTCGCTGCAACTCGTGGTATGCTCCTCCCAAGTGATCCCACTCCCACCAACCATTACACCCGACAACGAATCTCGAAGGATTTTGCCATCGGAGCCGCTAACGCTTTCTCTAATCATGCAGCCGGGAGATACGACCTCCAGCCCGGGGAGAAGAAGGGAAAAATAATACCATTCGAACTGCCCCCCCCCCCCCTAAACCAAAGTCTCGCGAAATAATCTCCTCTTTCAATACCCTCGCAAACGGGCCTAAAAAGCGATATTATTTGCAATACCACTCATGCTAAAACTGGGTATCTTTTTTACCATGACCAGAAATCAAATCGATGGAAGACCTCCTCCCCCCCGGCGCCGAACCGGGAACCGTGCCGACCGACCTCGAACAAGCGACCGGATTGGAACGGCTGGAAATCCTGGGCAAGATGCAGGGGATTGATATCTTCGACATGAAGCCCCTCCCTTCGGATCGAGTTGGTATGTGTTGCAACCCCCAAAAATACTGGGAACCAAACCCCTTCCTATTTCCGAAAACAACGTAAAAATCGTTGGTCACGATTCTGGTATTTTTTTCTAAGGCGCGCAAAAAAATTCCTACAGGAACGATGCAAGATCCCATCATGGTCAAATCCGCCGGAGATGAGCTACAGTGTGGATGTACCGGCTGTCCGGCTGACTCACACGCGGTGAGATGGGTCGTGGTATGTCTTCAAAACACCGCCCCTCCCCCCAATCAGGATTTTTTCCTATCGGAAGAAAAAACTCGCTGAAACTTGGGGGGGATTTTCCCCTAAATTCGGCAGGTCTCCCGAGCGCGCCCCTTCGAGCGTTGCGACGAATGCGGCAGCGTCTACAAGATGGAATATATCGGACCGCCGGACGATCCGGATCACCCGCATCATGGTTACGAGGACCCCAAGACGATGGCTGACTATGTCAAGCCGGAGTATTGGTATCGATGAATCGAAGCTAAGGGAGAGAAAGGGGGGGTTGAGAGCGAGGGAGGGGCTACTTTATTTGCCGGAGGAAGGAAAGGAAAAGACCATCGGATAGATGCACGGAGAGAGCTGTGAATGCGCGAGTATTGGACCTAGACACAGGAGAACGGATGGATGAACTGCATGTGCAGGTGTATTAAATATGCATTATCGTTTCCGTCAATTCTACCAAAACGAGTCCCCCCCACCAACCATCAAAAAGGGATTTCCCCCCAAGTTTCTTTTCCCAATCGCTTTCGGCATCTCTTGACTTCATGATGGAAGGATGAGGGGACAGTACGCTCGTCTGAAGCGGAACGCTGTGCGAGTATCGGAATCTATGCACGCAATGGGTCAGCAACGGATAAATTGGGTGGCACAGTGCAGGTGTTGAGGAGCATTGGTCACACTTTACCAAGTGTAGTTCCGGGCGCAAAGGGCTGCAGGTCCACGTACCGGGGGCACAGAGGCTGAGTGGAGATATTGCTGAGCACTAGCTGCGTAGATGAGAAGTCGACTTGAAAACCAAAAACAAATTGTCCGAGTCAGTGTCTTAGAAGATTAGATCAGATTAGATCAGATCGACTGCTGAGGTAAATCATGACGCAGCCCCCGGAAGAAAGAGTTTTTCGGGTGAGGGGAAGCTGCCCAGTGCCTGAGGCCCTGAGGCCAGGTGTTCTCTGTGTCTGAAATTCACTGAAAAAAGGGGGCGTTTCCTGTGGAAAAGAAGAAGAAGAAAAGGAAACAGAAACAGAAACGTACATGACGATAGATGACTATATCGGGACCGGGGGACTTCTGTCTATCTGTCTGTCTATCTGTCTGTCTATCTGTCTGTCTGTCTGTCTGTCTGTCTGTCTGTCTGTCTGTCTATCTGTCTGTCTATCTGTCTGTCTATCTGTCTGTCTCTCCGAAATCAGAATCAGAACCAGAACAGAGGCAGGTAAGAGGCACAAAAGGGGGTCTTTGAGATTAAGCAAGAAAAGGTGCAGTGCATGCGCGCGGGGTTTTGTCTACATCCCGTCCTATCCTGTCCTGTCTTGTTGGAATCCCGGATCAAGGGCTAACTAACTTAATATAACATAATATAACATAACATAACATGGTTAGCTTGACTAGTGACTGGGCACACACAGAGAGAACGGAATAAATCAATAGTCGTAGGTAGAGTGAAAATCGGCATCTATTTGACATGGTTTCTTTTGCTATTTCCTGGTCGTGGGGGGACGAATGATGGTTTCATTGGTTTTTTCTAATTGTGTTGTATGTATGTTCATATATGTGCGTAAAGATGCATGGACAAGGTCTCGATGTTATAGTCTGATCCATTCAACATCTTTGTAATGAGATGCGGAAATGGGAGGATGCAGCCAGTGCATTGTCCACAGCAGTTGAACCGACCTTGTTGATATGGCGAGGGGACAAAACTGCATGGAGCTTGTTTCATATGCACCGTATGACCAGCTTGATTTGTTTCTGAGTTGCAAATTGAGCGCGTAGATGCGGAGGTTGTCATCAGGAGGCAGAAACCATCTCCTTTGCGTATTTCTCGTCCAATCATCGTCCATACTTCCTAATTTCCCACCATCTCAGTGGCGGGTACACCAGAGCCGCCCAGGAGAAGCCAACATAATTCCCCATATCCGCGCCATGACTTCCCACCAGTCGTGCAATAGGACCAATATACCAAACCTGTGCCATACAGAGGATAGCTCCTACCCAGCCGACAAGGAACGCTGTGATGGCGGCAATCCCTAATGGCAGCTTCTCCCTTGTGTCCCACACGGCCCAATTATAGCCTTGGCTGCCATGGCGGAAGAGATATTCCTCAACCAGAATGGCGACCCAGATAGCGACCCAGTAGCCCATAAGAGCCAAGAAATTGGTGAAGATCACGGCCAAGGAGTTGCGACCGGCCAGAGCGCAGACGGCGTAGATGATGACCCCTAATGTGTTCCAAAAGACTCGTGGGATGCGCTCAAACTGTCGTCCGAGGGTTTGAAAGTCAATCCCGCTGGAATAAGTGGGTGGAATGGTGTTGGCAATACCGCCTAACGCGACGATGACGGCGCAGAACCCGCCGAATCTGCCTAGAGATTCGAAGCCGGCCACCAACAAAGCGCCAGAGCCGGATCCGCCCTGGGAGCCGTTCCAGGCATCGCTGTAGGGTTGGTAGGTGGCAATGCCAGAGGCGAGGGCGATGCCAGGGACAAGGGCGAAGGTAAAAGACAGCGAGAGACCTGCTAAGGTGGCTAAGAAGATGAGTGGGCGCGATGCCCCAGTGCTCCAATAGACGAAATAGTCGCCTGCCAAGCCGGCGTAGGTGATCGCGGCGCTGAGACACAGGGAGAGAAAAGAGAGGCGGTTGCCTCTTATGGTAGCTACGTCGCCAGCGGATGGAGTAGTGAGGTCAAAGTGCTTTGCTGCTACGCCGAAGAGTATGCTGTTGACAATGAGTTGGGGAAGAAAGGCGAAGCGTTCGTAGTAATGGATGATGGATATGCCAAAGATGGTAATCACCCAGCAGATCACGGCGACCACGATGATTCCAACAACGACCGACATGCTCCCGTTCGGAGAGACTGCTGAGAAGATCTGGCCTCCAATGATACAGACCAGGATGGAATAGCCGAGCATGAGCATGATGTTCAAGACCACGATGAGCTTGCTTGGCCACCAACCCATTGCATAACGGCCGAACACCTGTACGGCTCCAGCATTAGCACAGCACGGGGCAGGACTCGTGGCCGGAGTATCAGCCTACCATTGAACGGAGGCCGGACAAAGGACCCCAAGTGGCGATCCAGGCCACTGGTACGCTACCGATGACAGCTCCGAAAACTGCGCAGAGGGCAGCATCCCGGAAGCTCAATTCGAAAATGGCAGGACCAAGCATGCCCAGCGTGATGTTGTTTGGGGCAAGGTTGACGGATAACCACAGCCCAAAGACTTGCAGATACGCTAGCCAACAGATCTGGACTTTTTCCTGCTCTTCTACACGTTGTATGCCTCTGACCTCGAAGTTGTACTTCACAAGCGTCTCCTCGAACGCCCGGGCCCTGGATTTGGGTCTTGGCCTTGTTCCGTTGTCATGCTGTTGGTGCTTCACCCCCTCTGCGGACAGTGATACAGCCGCTTTCGCCTTTCTAACTTCGGAAGGCGATTGCACCGGGTCCATGATATCCTAAACTAAGTCAGCACATACTCCTTGTGTGCC